ACGAGCAAAAGGGAGAAGACTGTAAACTCGGGACATAAATCTACAAAGTTACGCATTTATATTTTATACCCAGACCAAGTAAGTACATTACAAACAAGTATATATTGGAATAATTTACTGAATGCCCATTATGTGCTGAGTATTTTTTTTTAAATCAAAAGCTCACTAGTAAATACTAGAACTGAATAACTACTATTTTCTAAGTTTAAGGGTAGGAACCTTTTGGGAAAACAAACTGACCTCCTTTACTGTCAGGTGTCCTTCCAACACACACATAGGTTTTTACATAATATCCAGTACATCCCTGTACCACATTCAACAAATTTCAGACAGTTTATATAATTAAGGAAGATGTGTACAACCAAAGATATGGAAAAAAGATCATAACTGCTACTTTAAAAACCATGAAGCATGAAAATGTTTTTATTCTTGAATGGTTGCAAAATTTTCCTTCTATCTCCGCTACCACCCTAAATACCTTCCCCCCAAATCAGCTAGAACATGATGCTAAATGTTCCAGCAAATTCATATACTTGTAGTGGTTATGTTCTTAGTAGAATAATCTGCAGATAATCAGGTTAGTACCAGCACTCACTGTCATACCCATGTGCCCTGGTCCTCCATTCTCCACTGCAGGGTGAACAATCACAAAAGGCACCAGTCTTACATCCAGCCCAATCCCATCCCGGTCTCACAATCTCCTCAGCTGTATTTAAAAGTATGGAGCTGTGACAGAGGCAACATATACATGATGCATAAAGTTCACACAAAAATAGTTTTGCCTGTCTTAGAATCTAATCTGCCAGTGATAGTTTGAAAATCTTTGGCTTTCCCAGCCTTGCTGTTTACCCAAAGAGTATGTCACACCTGCAACTGAAGTACAACACAAGACACAGAGCAGGGTGTCCAAGTACAGGCAAGGGAAATGCGATATCACTTCATTTTCTACATGGAGATCCCAATCAGCCATAAATTAACTTGTGAATCTCTGGGTTTCTTTGAAGTTTCTTTCTAGTGTCTGAGTCTTACTGTCATTTCACAATGAGCATATAATTCTTTCGTTAAAAGTGTCAACACATCTGGTTAAATCTAGTTGGGAAAGGAATGAAAATAAGGTTCTAGTTTTCAGTTTCACACTTACCCATTTAGATAGAATAATCACAAAGTTGGCTACTTTCTAATAACCTAGTTTTAGATGTCACCGGAAGATTAAACTTCCTTGGGAACAGAGAGACTCTAAATTGCTACCTATTCATTGGTTTTAACCATCATACAACTCAATATGACAAAATAATATGTGTATAGCAATAATTATTCTCTTTGCTAGTAAAAATTTTGATAGAAAAAGGTTTATATGAAAAAACAACTTAAATGATATTCATGGCTTATTCTATTCTTTCCAAATCTTGTATTTAAACACTGAATCTAGGGAATTAAATTTTCTCCCACAGTGTACCAAAAGGATTTATTACTACTAAATTCAAAATGGCCACAGGCAGTCCCTTACTTGCGCAACTGTGAGTTAAATACACAGTAATTTGATTCTAAAGAAGAGTATAGATATTAATGTTTATTAAATAACCCATAGGCCTGGATGTGAACAAAGAGAAAGGTTGATTTAATCATACCAAGTAAACAGAAATATTTATTCTGATTTAAACTTGCGCTAAACGCCTTAATTCAACAAATAAGGAAAAATTACTTTTACTTGTTATAAAATCAACTTTTACAAAGGGTTAGCTATGTAGCTCAGAAAAAAAGGCGCTGAGTTTAATCCCCAATATCACAAAAAAAGTCTAAAATGTTTAAGTCACAGTTTAGTATTTTTCATTAGTTTCAAATAAATTAGCATGAAAATATTTAATTAAGTTTTGAGTGTGAGGCTTTTGAATTTACACTAAAAGAATTTTTTTTTGGATTTTAATCAAAAACACTTAAATGAAAAACTTTATAGTTTAATGCTCCTAAAGATAAATCTTTCATTTTTAAGTGTACAAAAATTAGAAACTGTGCAATAAATGGACTGGAACATTAAAGACTATTGCCAGCAACTAACTGCTATCTGCTAAATTTCAAGGGAACTCATTGTAGATGAAATTTTTTAAAAGTGCACTCACCTACCCTCTCACTGAGCACTTTCTTGATTTTCCCATTACAATTAACAATATAACTCCACGGTCAAGTCTTCCAGACCAATAACCTCACATTTTATTTTTAACTCCTGACTCCTTCACAAATGTTCCCCTTAAACCAATTCAAAGTCCTGCCAATTCTTCAATCACACTCTCTCAATTCTGTTCTTTCATTCCATTTCCACATTTTATTTTACTCTCTCATGATTCACAATAAACCCCCTATTTCCCTAAAAGGCCTCTAATGTCTTTCTACTCAGACTCATCAATTCAGCTGTCTAAATCATCTTCAAAGATCTTGTTCAGCAATTTACAGTAATTCCAGATCTCCCTTGAATCTCAACCAAACTTACAAGACCCCTTTGCTCTCTTATCAAGTAAGCTTCCTATATTCCTCAATTCCATTTCTTATTTTCCTGTTAAGGCCCCTTTAATTCAGATTTAACAATTCTCCTGCTGCCTCTCACAAAATTCACCATCTCAGTGTTTCTTCACATTCTTTCCACCTAAAGTCCTTCATGCTTCTCTATCAGTTCAGTTACAGCCCCCTTTAAAACCTGTCTCAAAACACACCTTTTCTGCAGAAATCTTCCTTCTCCAACCCTTCTTTCTCATCTCTTTATTCTTTGTTCCTCTGAACAAAGGATTCAATTTGTATTTTATAACTGTACAGTCACCATACTACTCTTTCCTATTGTTTTTTCCCTCATAACCCACCTTTAGTATTAAATAGGTTTTTGTCGCCAAGAACTACAATTTCTTATCTTTGTTTTGAACAGGGGTCTCTTAGAACACTAGTACCTTAACAAATGCTGAATGGCTCCCATTTCTCTAAGTCTCCTTAAAGTCAAGGTTGTCAAAACCATAGTTAGCAATAAGTAACTTTTAAGTGTTAAACTGAACTATATTGTAATGTAAAATTAAAACTTTTAATCTCCACACTTAAAAGAGCTACTGCGTCCTTGATCAACACCTCTGTCAAGAACTAAGGGGTCATTTTCTAAGAAAATACTGGAAACAAAATGAAAAGTCCCGAAACTTAGCATTATAATCTAGCTATAGAAATCTTTCAAATAAATCTAATAAATGAATTGCCTCAAATTGATTTTGAGTGGTCTCTAAACTATTATTGCCAACATGTAAAGTATACAAACACTCCACTACAAGAGGCTCTTAAGTAGCTATTATAAGATCTGCTTCATCATAGCAGAAAATCACCCCCACAATTTAAAAAAATCTTTTCAAGCGACCCTATCAAGTGCTTCGAAAGCGTGATCCTTCCCTGAAACACACAAAGTCAGTTTCCCTCTTCACACACTACATTCTGCACTAGCTGGTCAATGAGGGAAAAAAATTAACTTTCAAAAATAATCTCCCATTCAGCTATTACCTGGGGCTATCCTGTCTCAGGAAAGTTTTAAAAGCCAGTATGAATTGAAATCTTTAGCTCAAAAGTAACGTTGCATAAGTATAAAATCAGTTTCACTTAACAGCGTATACACTTGGGTTTTTAAAAATTTTTTTTTTAAATTTCAGTTCATCGGGTCTTTTAGACAACAAAATAGTTTAACTTGCCCTTATCACACCCCTTTTGTGGAAAATAAGCAAACAGAGATACTTCTATCAAATTTTGGAAGTATGTTTAAATAAACTGTCATTAAATACCACATAAACATCTCCACAAATAGATACATTATAACACTGGACACTTAGTATACCAAACGCTTCAAGAACACAGACTTTTCAGGACAAATCCAGGGCAAGAGTACGGTATAAATAAACACCGCTAAACACTGCCCAAGACGGACCAAATACCCTTATTATATCCAGGATCACAATCTTTTGCAAAAACTAATTTGGAAAGGCCTAAATCCATATTCTTAAAAGTATATCCATTTTCTTAGCTAAATGCGATGGAAACTAACACTGCAGTATTTTAAATTGTCTTTTAAAAGAATCCCAGTACTGTAGTCTAGAACATTTAACAAATAATGCAGGCAATGGCACCTCCAAACTAAACTTAAATGACAGTGAGTCAGTGACAATTAACATTTAACTTAGTATTTGGCACTATGACAATACAAACCTCAATCAAAACTTGGACCTACTTCCAAGTTACCTTTTGATTAAGCAAATTATATGGTGGCAGATTGGTAATGTCAGAACAGGAAGGTTAGGAGATAACACAACAAACCACTTATCCAATTGAAGACAATGTATTTCGCGATGCAACTGCTGCTGGATATTTATGGGCTCCCACCTGCACCTACTAAAAGGATCAATGCTCCCTCCAAACGTGAATCCCAGGCACTGAGCAAGTTCCTCCCCAGATTAAGAACAAATAGTTTGTATGTCACCCAGACCCCTCCCCTATACACACACACACACACAAAGTGAGGAGCCTAGAACATTTAATGTCACTATTAAGTATACAAAACTATTGGTAACTCCTAACACTCAAGCTAACTAAAATATCCTCCCTTACATCAAATGTGCATAATGGTTTATAATTCAAGACTCGTCCTCTTTATTCAAAAGGATAGGTACCCATCACTTCCATGGCTATTTTAACCAGGAAACGCTCGAGCACTTCCTAAAGCTGACTACCAAGAGCAAGAAAAGTGTAACAAGTTAAGTTTCAAGTCGATTCATCCAAATTATATTCTCTCCATTCAAGGTTAATGAGCCCGGAGGAGGTGTATGCAGGAAGAGGGAGCTGCCTCATTTTTGAGTGAAGACAGGTTCTGCCCTTTTCTATTACCTTTGATTGTTCTCTCAGGGGGTCTAAAATTAAAGACCCTGCTATTTCGAGGTTTCTTATTTTAAGGGTTTGGCGGAGAAAGGGTATAAAATAAAATCGATACTCACTGCTAACTTTCATGCTGCCAAAAGCCGAAGGCTGCTGCACTGGCTTGCAGCTCTCTGCAAAGGAGGTGGTTCTCGGCCGCCCCGACATGATTGCTCTTCCCGAATCACCTTTTCCTTCCTCCTTTTCTTCCTTTTGTTTTATGTTGGGGCGTTAGGTTAACGATAAATGCAGCATTAAGTCTCTCACGAGAAAAAGGAAAAGGAAAAAAAAAAAAAAAAGACTTCGTTCTCTTGGTTTTCCACGCCTTTTCTATAGCTATTTTTTTAAAAAGCCAGCGATGTATTTCTCCTTCAAGACAGATCGGTACGGATATTTAACATATGATTTAGAGCTGGGGAAAAATATAATTCTTCCACCTCCCTCTTCTAGGAAGGGAGAAAAAGGGCGGTGAGGGGGAACCTTAAAAATATATATATCACGTGAAACGGCGGCAGGTAACTTGATTGAAAATAAGTACTTAGATTATTATATTTTCCTCGGGGATTTTTTTCCGAGTCAATGAAGAAGGGAAGCGGCGGAAGGATCACGAGTCTCACGCTCGAAGAGAAGGGGGATGGGAAGGAGGGAGGGAGGGAGGTGGCGGCTCGCAGATGCGACGGGAAACGCTGCGACTCCGGCGGCGACCGGATCCGGCGGGCGGGCGGCAGGGACCCGCGACCGGGAGGGCGGCGGAGTCGAGTCGGTCAGCGGCGGGCGGCGGCGGCGGCTCCTCTCATTGCGCCAGGAGCAGCTGCAGGCGGCGGCTGGATCCAGCGGCCATGGCGGCGGCGGAGGCAGCTCCCTTCAGACCCCAGGCAGCGGCTCCTCCACTGCTCCCCACACGCCGGGGACATGGGCACCCGGCAACCGCTTCCGTCCCTGGGGCCCCCTCCCCCGGCCGCGGCACCGGCGCGGCCGCCCTCCGCCCCTCGCCTCTGCTCGGGGCCGCTCAGGAAGTGTCCGCGCTTTGCCCCCGGCCCGGAGCCCTGTCAGCGGCTGCGAGGTCGGCTCCTCCTCGCTTCCTTCCTTCCTTCCTTTGTCACTCGGCCCGGGCGGCGACGGCGGCGGCACAAGCCCGCATTCGCCCGGGTCGGGGGCAGCTCTGTGTGAGGAGCGCCGTCTGCGCAGCCGCCTGGCGCTTCCCCGCTCCCCCTCCCCCTGTCTACTCGTCCTCCGCCTCCTTCCTCCCCTACCCCGCCTTACACCGCCCAGCGCCCCGCCGCCCGCGTAACAGGCGTCTGGGAATCGCGGGTCGAGCCCGCGCCCCCCTGCTTCGGCAGGGAGGTGGAAATCCAAAGCGGAGCCAATCGCCGAAGTCGTTTGTTTGCGGCTCTTTCCGGAAAAATCCGATCGGCCTGAGGAACCAATTAAAAACTATCGCCGAAAAGCCCCGCCCAAGGAGCGGAAAGTGCCGAAGGTAGCCGAGCGAAGAAAGGTGGATTCGCCTTGTTTTGTGGATGGCTGGAGGAGAAATTCGACATTGCAACCGTAGCCAATCAGAGTTGTCGGCTCTCGGGAAAAAGCAAGAAGAGTTAAGGACGCTGAAACCCGAGTTGCGGGTGAAACTGCACTGCTAGGTGCCACGGCCGCTTCGTAATTGGCTGGAAAACTCCGCTGGGAGTGTACCTCTCCCGGTGATTGGTTAGAGGAAGGGGGCTTCCGAGGACATCTGGCCAGTCAGAATGTCCCCTCCCTTGCGGAGGAGGGGAGGAGAAGAAAGCGAAGGGAGGGCGTCTATAAGGCGCCGTCTCATTGGCCTGAAGCTTTGGAGCTGGAGTGGGAACGGAAGGGAAAAGGAGGGAAGCCGAAACCCGGGGCGGCAGCCAATCGGCACTCACTGCTGTGCAATCGCAAGACCTAGCTGCAGTACGATTGGCCTCCGGCCGCCGCCGGCGGTCCCAGGAGCCGGAGAAGCTAGAGTCAGGTCGTAGCGGCCGATGTAATGCGTTAGTCTGCGGCTGCTCCCTCCCAGCCAGCGTAGAAACCGCAGATGGGGCGTGCGGGCCTTCTACACAGCCGGTGCGAAATTGCTGCGGTCGGCGGGGCTGAGCTCCGGGCCCTCGAGCGAGCAGAGGGCCCGCGGGCTCTCCCCAGCCACGGGGGGCTCCCCGCCGGGCGCGGCTGGTTCTGCGCACCCCAGGGTCCCCGCCGCTCGTGCGGGGGATCGGGAACGGTTTCTCCTCGAAGGCTGGGCGGACCCGGGATCCGCCAGGGTGGGTACGGGTTCTCAGACTCAGAAGTGGAAACAAAGCTTCCCAAAGGGCAGAGCCGCAAGAGTGGCCGCGCCCCGCCTAGCCCCGGGGCCCCTGATAGTGAAGTTCTCTGGTGCCGCCGCCAGGCCCGACCCTCGGAAACGCCCCGAGAGATGAGCTCATGCTGGATGCGCGCGCTCCTTGGCGCCGCTGCCCAGAGCTAGACTGGCTCCCAAAGCAGGTGAGGGGAAATGCCGTCAACCCGGATATCCTGAAGCTTGAGGATACGGGGAGTCAGAACTGCCCGTAGTACCTTTGAGTCCTTTGAACAAGGCTGATCTGTGAAAGCGCTGAGTAAGTTCCACACGTAGGCTAGTGTCCATTGTTCTACCCGAGCACCAGTTCTTTTGGTTCTTCTGAGAAGGGTGAGGCCTGGCCACGTCTGACCAGAGAAAGTAGAATGGACACTTGCCATCCTGGTGGTCATCCACTGGTGGCTATAATTTCCACCTGCAGAGTCATCCCTTTCTGTTAAGATGCTATCTTCAGAAAGCACGTGTAAAACTACTTGTACTTTATCAGATTACCTAGCTATTGCTTTGAAAAACTGATGAGGGACTTGGAACCGAACAAAGTAAGCTTTGATGGGAGAGAGGAAATGTCCAGAGAGGTTGTGGAGACCCAGGTGTCTGCAGAGGCCAGACAAGTAAAGCAGATGAGACCAGTAAATGAGCGAGTTGGGACAATGGACCCTGACAAGGAATATGCAGTTGCAGTGTGTGTTCCATTAGGAAAGGGAGTAACTGCGCAGTCCTTGCAGATTGTTTCCCTCAGGAATGTGGGCCCCGTGTTAGCAGATACTCTATTTTCTCCTCCCAAGAGAAACTCTAAAGTTGGATTTTGGTGTGAGAGCTCCAGATTTTTACATATTGACAACCAATATTCCAAAACCCTGCAAACCCAAGTAAAAGCATACCAGGATAGATGGGGCCAACAACCACTCAATTTGTAGTCTCAAACCTCGGCATAGGTTTTATAGCCCAAGAGCAGTGGAAGCTCTTGTTTTTTGCAATGAAAAGAGAACATGAGATCCCTAGATGCCATGGGGGAGGATAAAGAATGTTAATAGCAAATTCATTACTTGGCAGCTTTGTCATCTGAATGGTGCCCCTACATGATATTATGAAAGACCTTTGTTGCTGCTACTCCTAAAATACTGTAAGGAAGAGCTTTAAATCCTACTTCTTTGCTTTTTAACTTTCCATCACTACTCCCAGTTATGGCAGCAGGAAAGTAACAGATGTTTACGTTATATGAACTGGAAATGGTTATTCTATGTAATAAAAGTAGGAAAATAGACTACCTGAAGGTTGAGATTAGCTTTACTGTTGTCGCCTTCGAATATTTTGAACTGGTGCTGTTTTTTTAAAAAAAAAAAAAAAAATGTTAAATGCTAAAAGGAGGAGGAAATTATAGGGAAAAAATTCCCAGTCTAATAATAATACTTGAATACTGGAAAGGTTATTTTTAAAAAAATATATAACCACTGAAATTATCCTCTGGTTTCCCTGAACCTCACCTTCCAACCTGCTGTCAATCACTTATTAGCTATAATTCTAGTGAGTACTTAGTAGGTGTTTACAGTGTGCCAGACACTGTTCTTAAATGTTTCATATATACTATCATTTCAGTGTACAGCAGTCTTACAAAGTAAGTTCTGTTGTCATCTCCATTTATCAGATGAGGAAACTGAGGTGCAGAAGAGTTTACTAACTTACCCACGATCTACAAACTAAAATTGAAGTACCAAGATGCAGATCCCCTGTTCTGCTCCAAGCGCCTCTCTCCCATGCAGTCCTCATTTCTCCTGGTATATCTTGTATTCTTTATCCAATGTCTGACATTAACCTGGTACTTTGTGCTTTGTGTCCCTAGTTGTGTGCATGCCCATAACAGTAACAATTTGGTTTCCTCTAGGAGTCATCAGACAGCCCCTTACGGAGTTCAGTGACTATAAGTCAAAGTAACAGTAAACCAAGGGTTAGAAAAGAGAAGTGTAAGGGGCTGGGTGGCATAGGTTAGGGGAGTGGTGGAGTGGAAAAGAAGTTGCTGAGCATTCTGTAAGACGAGATATAAATTAAAATACTTCATATCATTTGGTTCTCAGCCCAGTAAAATAAGAAAGGCTATTTTTTTTTGTTGTTTTTACAAATGAGAAAACTATGGACTAGAATAATTACATGTCATGTTCAAAATCACTGAGGTGCGTTTTTTAATTGAAACTGCAAGAAAATATTAGCAGGTCTAATGATAAAGCAGCAAGCAAGTGCCCCGAGGTTCTGCGGATCTGTCCCTTGCTTCAGCAGTGTTTGGATGGAACAGACGGGGATTCCTTCCCTTTCATCTTCTACCCACCTTCTAGTTACCGATTTCGGGGCCATCTTGTCTCCCATCTCTGGCCTCCAGGACCGGCCAACACTGTACTTCTGTGGGTAGCTCCTTATTGCTGACCCTGACTTCTCAGATTCATCAGAATTATTCCACCAGGGTGGAGGCCACTGTCAGCTGCCGGGTGAGTCTGCACCTACGGGTCTCCTGCAGTTCTCTCTGGGCTGTGCCTTCAGCCTTGAGGATGTGGCTCTGGCTGGCCTGGGCCATTTCTTTCTAGAGCTAGCCGAGGAGGACCTTGAGGTCTCCAAGCAAGTTCACAGCCAGCCTGGGCTAAAAGTGAGGTCAAGGCCAGCCTGAACTGCAGAGTGAAAGCCTGTCTCACAAAGATAAAAACATTTAAATTCTACTGAAGTAATGGCAGAAATTTGCCCTCTCCCACATGTAGCTTTTATTTATTTATTTATTTATTTATTTTATTTTTTTTGTCCTTTTGAGACAGGGTCTCTCTGTGCCATTCAGGCCATCCGTGAGCTCACTTTGTAGCCCAGGCTGGTCTCAAACTCACAACAGTCCTCCTGCCTCAGCCTCCTGAGTGCTGGGATTACAGGCATGTGCCGCCACACCCGGCTCACAGACAGCTTTTAATGCCAAAAGAGATTGGGTATGGTTCATAATTTGTATACTCTGAAAGTCAGTTTATATCAAAGTAAGGGTGATGAAATGTCTTATTGACTGTACTACTGGAAATCATGAGCAAGAGCTTAATTGGATAATAGTATCATGAGCCATTTTTATACTTTGACCAATATTAAAAGTTAACTCACCAGGCGTGGCAGGTCAGGAGGCTGAGGCAGGGGGATTGCTGTGAGTTCAAGAACTGCCTGGACTACCTAGTGAGATCCTGTCTCTAATGATAATAATAATAATAATAATAATAATAAAGTTAATTCATCCCAGAACTGTGCTAGGCAGTTAG